CAAAATTGAGAAAAATGCCCCAGAAACCGTACTGCGAATAAGAAAAATTCAAATTTTGCGCTAAAAATGGGCTAAATCTCAAACTAAGTCTGGTTTAATATATTTTTTAATATTTTAGTATTTTTCAATATTTATAGTGGAGGTAAAAAGCGGGAGATTTATATACCAAAGCGGGAGAGCGGGAGACGAGGCAAAAAAGCGTAAGTCTCCCGCCAAAAGCGGGAGAGTTGGCATCACTGCAACTGCTACATGTAAAACGCTTACCATGTAGAGGAGTTCAGGTAATAAACCACGGATCGAGTCAGAGTTCGAGAATCGCAAGGCAGAATTTGTTGAACATAGTCATCCTTCGTACAATTCAGCGACTGTGACGACGAAGCGATGGAAAAAAGATAAATTACAACGCAGAGACCGGCAAGTTGCACCATTATTTCGAAGTGTCCAGATGAAATGTGGCGCTGCAGAGCTTTTAAGTCCTTCAATACTTGCACATGCTGTACCAGAAGGAAGTCCGCTTTGACGTCACAGGAACAACAAACTGCAAGAGTGTACTTCCAACAGGAACTGGTGAACAGGTCGAATTGTCCAGATGAAATGTGGCGCTGCAGAGCTTTAAGTCCTTCAATACTTGCACATCCTGTACCAGAATGACGTCCGCTTTGAGGTAACAGGAACAACAAACTGCAAGAGTGTACTTCCAACGGGACCAGGTGAAAAATTATTAAAAGTTGTGTCTTCTAAAGCCCTGTCCGGTGTCAGGCCAAACTATACCCTATTTCTGACCACAACCCAATTTTAGTCAAGGACTCTGGCCTGGTTGCCGTGGCTGGTTCAGGGACATTTGAGTTTAATTTTTCCTTGCCCTTCCCCCCTCCCCCACCCCAACAGATCCTTGGAAAGGACATTCACTGAAAGAAGAGGAAGCTAAAAAAGAAAACATGCGCCTGTTTTTCCATGTTTATATCGACTAGGTGCTTCCCTCTGTTAATTCCCTGCGAGCAGAAGTTACCTTTTCCTCTATGTTTTCTCTCCAGTCTCCCCAATCAGTGAGGCACTGTGCCTGAGCATATAAGACGTGAGACTTTAATAAAGTTCATTATTATTATTATTATTATTATTATTATTATTATTATTATTATTATCTCGCAGTATAAAACTTTGGAATGCTGTCCTCATTATGAGTAGCATAGGGCGCATAACGCAACCTATGCTACACCACTTGAGAAGCTATACTTAGAAGAAAAAAAAGGTCGGTGGGAAACCTAATACAATCCTAATATACATAATGATATGAATCTCTCTACTTAAAAAGTCAATTTAAAATATTATTAAATTCTTATACTCTGTAAAACGTACGCAAAGTCATGATGATATAATTATCTCTTATTATTATTGTTGAGGGGATTATTCTCCTCTCAGCAGTTACTGAAGGAGTAATAACGACTCGAAGTAATCGGATGAACTTCAGGCTAATATGCGCTTGCATTTTGAATTGGAGCAACTACGATTGACCAACAACAGAGATTTTTGAACTAATTGAAACACTGAGAAGAGGAAGAGTTGAAGTACGACGCGTAGTGGAGTATTTTTGACGAACACTGTGTCGAATACTTGATATTTATTCAGTTCTCTAACAAAATGATTTTGGAAGGAGAAATTAAGGATGCAAAAATGAGAAGTTTTTCATTTGATTTCCACAGGTTCATTAAACATTTATTCCTTTGTATTTTCTTTATGAATTATTAATGAGTTTGAGAATATAAAGCCGACGTGTATCGCCGTTATAGGAAGTTTTAAGGTTCTGAAACATTCTAAGACTTTACCATGAAGATAAACAATTTACCAAGCATTTATATGTTTAGAAAGATAATATTAACAGTGTGCTTTTTGAGATTGGGACACTTTTACCTTCTTGTTGTTTAACTTGGGATACTTTATTTATAAAGATCTAAGTACTAAACTCAAAAAGTAACTTTGCAGACCAAAGGGCAGAAGGGAAACACGTAAACGAAAAACTGCGGAAACAGGAACGCGATTTATAGCGACGGCGTCACGCACAGGGTGTGGAAGGAGGGGTCCTGAATTATAAACAAATCATTTTTTTAACAATTATTCCTCGAGCCCGAATGGGCTCTGAGTCAATAGCCCATGAGGCCGAAGGCCGAATGGGCTATAGACTCAGAGGCCATGAGGGTAAGAGGAATAATTGCTTTAGTAAAATCCAACTAGGTGGTCAAAATATCGAGACAAAACTACTTAAAGCAAGACTTAAATCCTTTTTCCGGCCAAAAATCCGGCGCTTTTAATTTTCGCTACTAGTGGGCTATAAAATATAGCCTAGGGACCAGTCATAATTTAAGTTGGAACGGGGGGTGGAGGAGAAATTGGGGGGCCTTCAATTTTTTTTAGATGGAATATGGGGGCCTTAAAATGCCAAAAGATGAACTTGGGGGGTCTTCAAGTTTCTTTTAAGTAGCATTCCTCCTGAGCAGCATGATGCTTGAGTATTAAAGGACCTGATTTTGATTCAGTTTTACACAAAGTCCTATATTGTATAATACTAAAACAATTTAATCAGCATTTTGACAAAAAGATTTAATGCTCAAATAGTAGGTGCATCAACACAACATCCATTATTACTTGTGTAACACTGAAACAATTTCATCGGCATTTTAACAAATGATTACATGCATAAAGTCATGTTATGCAATCTCACTATCCGAATCATTATTTGTAGATGAGGTTGATATGTGGACTCACTGTCTTTGTCACTGTCAAGTGCTTTGCTATCAGAGCATGTACTGTTTATATAAAAAGCAGTAAGCTTCGGCTGATTATCTTCTTTCTTCCTTGAAGCGGTCCTGTCGGCCTCTAACCTTTCGATGGCTTGTCTTATCTCAATTATAACACAATCACTGATATATCCTTGCTCTATAAGCTGTTTGAGAGGCTCTAGGTGAAATCTCTCTCTCAGTTTAGTGTGAAGTACTTCTCTGTTGTTAGTTGGCACATTCAGAAGTAACAGTGATCAGTAAGAGCGGTAAAGTAAAGAAAATGTTATTTGTTATTACCATTTGGGTATTATGTAAGAAAGGGGGGCCCTTAAATCTTTTAACATGATCGAAGGGGGGTACCTAAAAAACATGGGTGCTATTAGTAGGGGTCTGGAAATAATTTGGGATAAAAAACAATTTCTCCTCCCCTCAGAGAACTGAGTAATGGCAAGGAGTCGTAAGTTATTTTTCTTGCCTTTCTTCACCTCCTATTATAGCCTTGACCTCCAAATTGCAAACTTGTGATCAGCGAAAACTATGGATAAGCCGAATATCGCCGGCCCATGCTGGCTCTGATAAATTGTCCTTGCGAAAGTAGCATAATATGCTACTCCTAGCAGTTCTCGTATATTTCGAAAATTATGCCAATAATTATGCTAGTTTATGTAAATTATGCTCATGCAGAAATTACGCTTTTTCTTTTTACTTCTGCAGTGTAACTACGTAACAAGTGCAAATTATGCAGCAGTGCTCTTTTTTGGAAAATGGGTGAAACTTATGCTACTGTTGACGATTTATGCCAAACATTATGATAGCACAATCCAGCCCAATCAAAGCCTAATCGCCTGTTGGTCCACGCTTCGAATAATTACACCTACATCCTGCACTGTAGGCATTAAATCAGTTGCATCCTTGTAGATCCAAGAGCAATTAATTGGGACGTTCATTCATGGCTAAAATTGTCCTCTCACTCCACCCCGAGGCACTCGGTGAACCTCACTGGCATGCGTAGCAATCGCTTGATTTAGGAATGAAAAGGCGGATCATTTTACATTTCGGTGAAACTACCCACCTACCCCTCCGCTAAACCAACATTAACACTTACTTCTCACTTAGGGCAAAATGCTAGCTTAGGTGAGGGGCAGGTGGGCAGTTTCCCAGAAACGTAAAATGATCCGAAAAGGCAAAGGGGAAATCAAGGTGCGCGAGTAAACAAAAAGACGCGCGAGAGGAAAGAAGGAGATGAAGGTTCCTCCCGCGCCCAACGAGTTTGACTAAAAAACCATTAAGAACTACTTGTAACTCAATTTTATTTAGCACCTCTCTGAGGTTGCAATTAATTTAACAAGGAGGGTTTATTTGAGACACGCCCATAACGCAGATTTGTAGAAAAATTTCGGTCGGAGCGCGTTTCACTCGATGAGCTACGAAAAACGGCAAACTATTGGTAGCCTGCTGTAAGAATGACTGTAATCAAAAGGGACTGTTACAAAATTGTTTTTATTTACAGCAAATCAGTAAAAAGCAATTGAAACTAAAACCTAATTTAAATAGTAAAAAATTTTTCAAAATTGCTTAATTATACAGTACTAAAAAATTAAACATACTGTACTTTAAAAATAAAGTTCTTTACCGTCTCTAGCTCTTTGATATAGAAACCTATAAAATGCGGACACTCGGCTCCGTCCGTTTAGCCAAAAAATAAAAACTAAAAAAAAAAAAAATATGGGAAATTTCAACTATGCAACTCAGTTAACTCTCAAATCATAGCTTACATATCGTAAAATCAATTTTACAAGAGGTTGTCAGTAAAACGCGGGGTCGGGGTCAGAGTGGGGGCCTATCTTTTTTTAGGGTTACGTTTAGCTCCAGGGATAGGGTTACGGTAAACCCTAACAGCATTCTTTAAAAAAGGAAAGACTCCGACCCCAGCCCCAACCCCGCCCCGCGTTCTACTGGCACCCTTTACAGGACAAGAGAAACACGAAACAACCTAAATTTTCTCGCCGTATTTGAAAATTCTATCACAAATTTACAAAGACAAAAATTTAGTAGCTGTATATTGTTTGTTGCTATTGGGAATTGAAAGCTTTGTGGGCACAAGTCGCTGCGAAAACATGAGAAGTAGGAAAACAAATTTGAAGAAAGCTAACTGGTATTTGCACTCTTGAATTTATTCTACCTTCTATTGGAAACTTGAACTAGAGTGCTATACCAGGGTCTCGTTCAGGTTCGGAATGGCTCATCTTTATCATTCGAGGGGTAAGCGAGTTCGTCACCCTCGATAAAGTGATCTTCGTCATCTTCTTGTTGAAGGCGACTCATGGGTTTATTACGTGACATCCAATTCAAGTACCGATACTTGATCGTGCGATGCTTGTAGACAAAGAACAAAGCCACGCCCAATAAAAGTACAATCATCACTACTCCCACGCCAATCAAAATCTTGTTTACTTTGCTTGATACCTTTTCTCTAAAAGCCAGAACAGTAGCCGTGACTGTAACCGTGACAAATTTAGTTGGAGTGACACACTCTTCTGTCGTGACATTAGCGCCGGGGGATTCATCAGGTGCCCAGCATGGGATAGAACGCAGTACCGTGACGTTCCGGGTTCCGTTTATGCATTCTCCCTTAATCCGCGTAATGTCTTGTTCTTGGCATTTCGGGCATGCGTACAAGGACTTCCAAACAAATTGAACGTCACAGCCCTGTTGAACTAAAGAGAAGTTGCTCTCTCTTACTGGCTGACCCACTCCTGCTGTGACGTCACATCTGAGGTCAATAGTTGTTTTGAATCGGCCACTCTTTCCTTCAGACAGAATCAAAAAACACACCATAGCTCAAGTCCTACGATAAATATTTTTTTGGCACGCGTGTCGCTTAAGGTCCGCCTTCAGTTCCGTTCGGGTGAGGTGATGGGTAGGAAGTTTCAATCACGGTATAGCGGAGCTTAAGCAACTACGACTGCGACCGACGGCAGCGGAAACCTTACTTTAAACTTGAATTCCAACGGACTGTATCCAAGTTCAATAAAACGTGAAATATGGAATTGTGCAATGTCGATAAAGACATGTGAAATGGCAAAAAAGCGTGATGCACAGGTAAATTTGTTCTTTTACTAACCTAAATATATTGCTTTTGCCGTTTTTGTTGCCGTCGACGACGCCGTTGCTTAAGCTTCCTATTGTTTGAGAGAGCGCGTTAGATCCTCGTAGGTATTACTGGTCGCGATCGTCACCGTGACAACAGCACGTGTCAAGGTGTCCACTCTCCTTTCGCGCCTTTTACAAGTCCAACCACAGGCGGCCTAAACTCACGTTACGAGGAAAGGGAGTAACAGTGGCTACGCAATAAAGCCCCCCCAAAAAACAAAAACAAAACAGTAAAACGACAAGCAGACACCAAAACACAGTGGAATACATCGCAGGTAAGTCTTTTTTATTCATTTCATTGAAGGAAAACTTAGATTTAACGTTATTTAAAGTTCGCAGGGCTCAGTATTATATTTCTTACACAAAGTCTCTTATTTTCAACGGTCGCCTGTAACGCGACAGCGGCGCGTTCACGCGTCATCTATGGTATGTAAATTACTTTAAACCCTTTCCTCGTAACGTGAGTTTGGGCCGCCTGTGTTGCGACCGAGGCGACTGAGGCTACGCGCACAGTGACACCAGACGAAATTTCGACCGCACAATTGGTCCACATGACACAGTTCAAGATTTTCGTTCTGCTCACACGAAACATCAGGGAGCTTTAGATTCTGAGACGAGGACGACTACGAATACGAGATTTTCCCAATACTGAGTAGTGCGCGCCCGTGAACCAGCGTCATTTTGGCGGGAAAATCAATCTTTCCGGGGTTTCTTTTATTGAGACCACGCGCAAAAACTTTCAGTTAAATCTCGTACTCGTCCTCAAATCTTGAACGGCTAGGCGTCTACATTTTCAAACGGTTATGGTGGTTCCGTGTGAACCCAAAAACTAAACGCACGAATTTTCAGCCGGTCAAAAATTCGTCCGATACCGTGTGAACATAGCCTTAGACCAAGTCCGTGTTGTTTCGAATTGCATTATGGGATTGTAATGGAGGACGAATGCATTTAATTTGTGGTTAGCATTTGCTATGGAGAGGAGAGGGAAATGTCACGTTACCATGGTAGCAAAATTTCTGGATCACAACAATAGGGAGCTTAAGCAAGGACGACGGCGACGGCAACGAGAATGGCAAAAAAGGAATATGTTTATATTAGCAAAACAACAACTTTGCACATACATCACGTTGTTTTTGGTACATTTCTCAGCCGTCGTTCCACGACTGCGACATGAAAAATCCTAATTTCACGGCACCCGCTTGATGGAATACGTGAACAAAAGACAACAATTTTCTTTTTCTTTTTCTAAACTTAGGATTCAACCCGAGAAAATTTCGCCAACATTTGACAAATCGAATGAAATTGACTAAGAGCGATGAAGTTTAAAACAGTGCGAATTCAAATTTTCCGTTTGTTGAGATCTAGAAATTTTGCTATCATGGCAACATGAGGTAACGACCTCTCTCCTCTATTATGTTCAATTTTCAATCTGTTACTGTTTCTTACAATTTGTTAACAACTCGTTGGCTGCACTCACCTCCAAAGAAACATTTGTCACCGTGAAGCAACTCCACAATCAAGCCAGAGCAGATATCCGGTTTTCGTTTGTAGCCAATCACGGACCCAATGCTTACGTCATTGTACCAAGAGGAACTGCAAGCCATCACGGGAAGGGGAACTCTTTTACCGCTGATCCAGTCACGAGATGTGCACGAGCTATTGTCATGATCAACGGTGCAAAGGTTGAAATAATATTCTGAACTGTAAAAATATATATAGCCATAGCTGAACCACCTAAAAGAAAGAAAGCAATAACAAGAAAACGATGATAATTAGCAATAGTTTTCAAGTTTTGACGTGGACAAGTTAAGGAAAATCCGTCGACACCTCTGAAAAGAGCACCCTAAAATTAATAAAATTGCCAAGTTTGAAAGTGATTTGGTGAAAACTAGTGAAGAAATAGCTCACGAAACTCGCGAAATTGTAACAAAAAATTGGATTTTTGTAAAATTTGGATGATTATACGTTTCTGGGAAACTGCCCACCTACCCCTCCCCTATGCCAACATTTTGCCCTAAGTGAGAAGTAAGTGTTAATGTGGCTTAGGGGAGGGGTAGGTGGGCAGTTTTCCCAGGGTTAGGGTTAGGGTTAGGGTTAGGGTATAATGATCCAAATTTTACCGACGTCTGTATGGTGTGGTGGGGGGCGGGGGAGAGGGGTGGGGGCACAAACTTGCCCCCCACCATACAAACATCCGTAAATTTTCACAATCTAGCGGAGCTATTACATCTTCGAACGCTTTAGACGTATCACTTTGAAATTGGCAATAAAATTAATTTCAAGGCAATCTTTCCAGTGGTATCGACGGTTTTCCTTAACTGGTGCATATCAAAAGTTGAATAAACAGAGGGAGGGTCTATTATGAAGATCCAGGAGACTGTTCTCCACCAAGGCTGAAGGCCGAGGTGGCTTTACAACGGTTTCGCTACTTCACAACTTCGCTACGTTCGAGTTCGTTTGAGTCTCGTCCTTTGGGTGTGCCGAGGCCCACGTACATATTCGTCTCGCTGCCTATAACAAAGCCCGAAACTGCAAGAAATACATTAAAAGATTTTTTTCTAAAGCGACTAAGGGAATATTTTCAGTGGTTTATAGAAAGTAATATGTAGCGAATTTGTTGCGAACTAAGACGTAGAGAATTCGAAAAGTAGCGAAACCGGTTGTTACCCTGAGGTGGATAACATGATTCCTCACATCATATGAATGCCGAATTCAATAATTGTTTTATTATTCATTCAAAAGATTTCTAAGATCTTAGCTTATATCCTCGAAGACTTTCTTCTAAGGTTTTGCCTATTCCTCGGTACAGTTTCGAGATACAAACATTTTTTTTTTGCAGATACTCCTCAAAAAGTACATAACATCCATCGAACAATATGTTTTGCGTACTCTTGCATTTCTTTCGTTCAGATTTTTTTTTCCGAAATCTCTGGTTCGAAATTGAGCTATTTCGTCTTTGCATAGCCGTGAACGCAAGTTCCTTAGTTCACTCGTGAATAAACGGCTAGGCGGCCGCACCTTGAAACGAGGTTGATCAATGGTCTATTCCCCTTCAGCCTCGTTTCCAGGAAAATGTATCCATCGATCAACCTCGTTTCCATTCCAATATACCATCGATTGCTCGCATCTTCCAAATTTGGTCAACGCCGGTTGGTTGTGAAGAATCAGTTGAGGGCTTTGAGCCAATCACAAATAGCAGTAATGACTGCAGACACCTTCCTCCACAACTTTTCCGACCCCCTCTTGGTCGTAACAAATACAACCCTTAAATACCCTGGGTGAGAGGATAAGGGAAGGAAAGGAATTTACCTTCGACCCCATGGGTGTAGTCCTGGTAAATTGACTTTAATCATTGATCCGCCGGGACGGGAAAGCGCAGAGAGGTCATAATCTACACCAGGTGCGGGACTGAATTTACATCCGTTTGTGTCACAGCTATCTCTGTTTGGTAGAACTTTTGTATTGCTTCCACAAGGAAGGCATTCTTCACTACCCTTCTAAACAAACAAACAAAACACTAGCTCAGGCATCAAGACACAAGAAATAACTCAATGTAAATCGATCTCCGAGAATAATTTCAAAGTGAGGTTACTACATGGTGTATGACAGATGCGTTAAGGGGGGGTCATGTTTCCATTTGATTACTGTCTAGCATTCATATGGCCAGGAATGAATAAATGGCTGGCTGGCTGGCTCGCTGACTAACTGACTACCTGACCATCATACCAGACTGCCTGACTGAGGGACCAATAACCTGAATGACGGACTGGCTAGCTGACTGACTGTCTAACTGACTGACTGCTTGGTTGGCTAATTAAATGACTAACTGACTGTCTCCCTTCCTGACAGACTGACTAACTGACTGACTCACTGACGAAGTTATGAATATATGAAAGTCATGTATGACTCACTGACTGTTGGCTGATAAAGTGATTGACTGATTAACTGATTAACTGAATGACTGACCGGCTTACTCACAACTCATAACAAAGTGTTCATTGTTTAGAAGCTATAACCACAAAACGACAAAGTGTGTGTGACTGAACCCTCACTGACTCTTGTAGCAAACGTGAAGCTGTATACCTGTGCGGCAAAAGTCTGCCCTTGACAAGGAGCGCATTTATAAGAACCTGCTAAACTGCTAGTTCCATTTGGACAAATTCTACAGTCAGTGTTGTCTGGTGTGCTATGATATCCAGGTGGGCATGCTGTACAGTTGCGAGCCGCGCCAGACTTTGCACCAAGGATGCTTATGTTGGATACCTTCGCTTCAAATGCTGAAGAGAAAGTGTCGTCTAGCTGGTAGAACGTCCATCTGTAACCAAAAGAAAGGCCCTTAAACTTAAACATTTCGGTTTCAGTAGTATTAAAATCCAAAAATTGTACTTTTTTCACCACAAAAGTTATTAGCACTCTCCCGACCGCAAATATTGATCCAACTTCCAACATTTGATAACATGTTTCCGCCACTACGGCAAAACTCGTAGTAGAGTGACGATGGCTATCACGATTTTCCTCCAAAATGACGCTGGTTCACGCCTGCGCACTACTTAGTATTGAGAAAATCTCGTTCTCGAAATGTCCTCGTCTTAGAATAGAGAAGTTCACGCTCATAGCTGCATCATGGGTAATCAGGGCAAGATGGCGGGAAATCCAAAGATTTGTATTGGAATTCATAGCCAGCTAATTCTTCCTGAATTCATACAATTGTTGCTTTCTCTTTGAAAAGTCGATAGTATTCTTTGCACTCCAGATTTAGTGTATTGTTTCTTTGAACTCGTAAGCTACTCTTTTCAAAGAGAAAGCATCAAATATATGAATTCAGGAAGGATTAGCTGGCTTTGAATTCCAATACAAATCTTTGAATTTCCCGCCATCTTGCCCTGATTACCCATGATGCAACTATGAGCGTGAACTCCTCTGAAAAGGTCTCAACTGTTACCTGAACTGATATCTTCCCTTCTCCAGTGGATAAACATGCATGACATAATTACCATCTCGTCGCTTCTCATGTTGATAAATATACTTCCCTTTAGGACGAGTACAGTTTACTTGATCCTTCAGAGAACCATTCTTCCACACTTGAAATATGAGATTGCAGTTCTCTATTTTAGCCAAAGTCTCGCCTTTCACGGGTTTAGATGGCACTCCGGTCAAATTGCACAGGACTGAGCAGCTGAAGACGACCTTTGCTAAATCTGAATCCACCTCTACTTCAGGAGACCTCAATTCAGAGTGCACATTACCCACAACACGTTCTGTGCGAATGTGATCCCCAGCTGGAATCCAACCAGTCTAGAAAAAAGGTATTTCAGATTATTAAGTCCGTCTTTCAGGAACAGCTACGTAAGGTAATCCAGATTCCGGAATTTATCTGGAAAGTATTTGATTGTGAAATCCGGAATCCTGGGCTTTGGAATCCGGAATCCAGCTCAAGGAATCCAGAATCCGGCTAATGATTGGAATTCGGAATCCAGGTTCCATTGACATGGAATCCAGAATCCAATTTTCCACTGACAAGGAATCTGGAATCCACCATCCAAGACTGCCATGGATAACCTTACATGGGGAACCCAGACGGTAACCGGTCAAATCGCCCGAAGTTAAATTGCTAGAAATTTTTAGTAAAGTAGCCCGAAATTTTTGTAAGGAGTGTACGTAATATATCTCATGAGACAAAACAAGCAGGCCAATTGTGTAATCAAATCTCGTTCTTCAAGCAATGATGCTATGGTTAGACGAAATAAGGGGGATGAATGTGTATCATATCTCATTCTTTTAGCCTTGATGAAATGAAACAAGCAAATGAGTAATACATCTTGTTCTTGAAGATTTGATGAAACGAAACAAGGGCGATTAAGATGTTAGGATGTTGCTGGGCATGATAAAATTTTGGGCGACTTGACTGTAAACCGGACAGACTGTTCTGTCTCCTATTACCTAAAGAGGCTGAGTCCCGGAATTCAGCCAAATTTAGCCATTATGAGCCTGTCAACAGATCAAGTGCACTTGGGTCTTTTAAAAACAAGTCTACTTAACAGTTTTTCAAAACTTGTTATTTAGAACTTTCAGTAGGGACCTTACGACCCGACAACGGCGACGTCCACGAAAACGCCGCGTAAAAATAGACTTTACATCCGTTGAAACTATTTCGCGATTATCCCAAGTCGCCCTATTACTTAAAAGAAGGGAATTTAGGTTGGAAGTGAAGGCCGTCGTAGCTTTGTAAGGTCCCTAGTAAGAACGCTCAGGAGACATAACAGTTACCTATAACAGTCAAGTTCTTCCTCATTCTTCTGAGGAATAGTAGTTCGAGCAAAATAGGAGAATGCGTGAGAAATGACCAGCCGCGAGGATGACACGTGGAGGGAGGACCTTCTTCGAGGGTGGCGATTTTCACGCGCGTTCGTGCATCTGCTCGCTCTACTATCCCTAAGGAACTACTTATAGTCCATTAACCCTTTAAGCCCCAGTATCCACATATAAATTCTCCATACTGATCTCCATACATTTCCTTCAAGAATTAAAAGAGAGAGTTTGATAACAGATCAAAGGATTTGCTCTTTAGTGATCATTTTATTAACTCTCATAACTATTTCTCTTGGCAAAAAATGGATATTGTTAGGAGAAAATTGATGTTCGTCACAATTGAGACTAAAAGGGTTAAGAGAGCACCTAGCTGTGTTTCTCGCCATCTTGAAAACAATCGACATAGTTTTTAAAGAACTTCTCAATATTTGACAAACCTCAATAGTACAGTCACCGGAACAAGAAGCAGAGAAACCTTCTGGTAATGTGTCATTCCTCCACAAAAAATAGTGCTTGCCTGGAAAGGCTACATGACCAACTTTGCATGTAGCACATTTCACACCAGTAGAAAACCTCCCCTTTGAACACGGTTTGCACTGAATTTGTCCATCCTTGCCTCGAAAAATCTCAAATCCAGGTTGACAACGACACTGCACTATCTTCGATGAAGGAGTTATCGTAGTATTTTGTCGGTTGCAAAGAATCTTTGGTGCTTTTCCATCTATTTAATAATTCAAGAGATTTTGTTAATAAAGACTCTAATATACACTGCGTCCATATACACAGTACAGTATGTGGTCCTTGGTCTGCGTCTAAAAGTCATTAACTTGAATATCTTACCCGAATCTTCACGTAACGAGCTGAAATACTCCCTGAAGATAGCTTTTACGTTCTTCTCGATAATCCTGAAGTTTCAAGTTCCAGACATAAATATTTTGCTTGGAGTTCGAAAAAAGGCGACCGTTTTCGATGGTCCTTGGTGGTCCTTGGTCCGCGTCTCATGTAAGCAGCACGAAAAAAACGTAAAAATGTTATAGTTTCCACAGGAAAATGTCATTTTCACAAATTTCATGTATTTTTTTTCTTTTCTTGATGCAATTAAGTTAAAGGTTTTTTTCGGAAGATGTTGTGAGTATAAAATAATCTGCTCTTCTTTCAAAGACTTCAGACAACAGTCTCCTCGAGTCTCCCACACGAGCGTCGCGAGCGGCTTTCAGCGCGGTCGAAAATAATTACCAAAAACTCTGCATGTATTCGAGGTATTAAAAAAGAGAACTTGTAGACATGTATAGGGACGATTTTCAAAACATTCTTCGAAAACAAAGGACTTCGCTTTTTATTTTGCGAAGTTTTATTCAACCAGGTCATAGGTCGCGGACCAAGGACCGCCAAGCGAAATTTGGTGATATTCTTCAAGAGTCGATAAAACAAAAAATTCAGAGTCTACAGCAATATGCTTCCAACAGCAGAAAAAGGTTGATCTGAAAACCTGTTCTGCAAAAAGGCATGTCTTCCCGTTGCGTTTTATTTATTCGCAGGCTAAGTAAACATGTTCATGTAATTTACGGTGCCGCAAAAATCCAAACTTCAAGAAAGACAAATTAACCTACCTGTCAACAACCTTTAATTTCGCGCCTTCACCCGCAGCAAGAAAGCCGAAACTTCGTCACATGAAAGAATGCTAATCAGTAAATCACGATATCTTTCATTATTCAACGTATTTTTTTTCTCGACGAAATATTTTATCATTTTCGGAAAAGGTGCGGACCAAGGGCATCGCAGACTTGCGCGGACCAAGGACCACATACTGTACGGATAAATAGCGTCAGCGCGAGCACGCTAGCTCTCTGAGGTGTTCTGGTGGTGGGGTGCTCTCCTTTCTTGCCCCACCACCAAAGCCCCCCCAGAGAGCTTGCTTGCAGGATAACAAATAAAGGATCCTGCCCAATTCAAATAGGAGGTGACAAATGTGGTAATGGCACCATCACTCTTCGTGGCAGTCATTTATACAGAAAAAATGGCAGACTGCTTATAATATTAATTAGGGATTGGTCAAAGGGTAATTTATCCCTTCCCTGTACTCTGGAAATGGCATGCAGTATGTTGCGGTTTCCATTAAATCAGTATTAATTTTTTCCTCCATGGTCGAGAAACCCAAGCTTCTCCATGACCAGGTTAAAAAATCCAGTCAGCACAATATAGCATGGTTATTGGTTGGGTTCCCATTTTTTGCTTCAAGGGCCCTCCCCTCGGTATTCTAGTGTCCCATTCTGCCCCCCCTCTTTAACACCCAGAAACAGTTCTAACAATCATTTCAAAATAACACACGAAGACATAGTTAGTAGAGCAGACTGGTTATAAAAGCCAGCAACCATCAAAGATGAAAACAACAGTGCTGCAGTTTATGTTGGAAGCTCCCTGACAATGTACAATCCTTTGTTTCGTGTTCACAAACTGTGACTGAATAAATTAATGCGATGTTTCTGTTGGTCAGTAAGTTCAAAATGATAGGAATGTTATAGAACATTGTGCATGGTCAAATCTAAAAAAGCTAACGAAAACATAAAACAAAGAAGTCTGTCGGGCTTCATAACTATCCTAAACTATGATAGAGAAAATAATTTATTCGCACGAGGCTGAGCATGAAGCATTTTTTAATTTCTCTAAGAATTGTTACTTACATCATATTGTTTTAGAAAACCAGCTAGCTATTATTATAAGTAGGGCAGAAAGGATTTGAACTTGCAACTATTGAGATCAATGTCAGCTAGCAATCTGGGCAGGACTTGAAAGTGTGGTCTCCAGATTACAAGTCTAGTGCTCTAATCAATTGCCCATGCCACATCCAGCCTGAGAAAACAGCCAACATTCTGCGATGCCATCACCGGTTTCACCATGAATTGATGTATAAGAAACATGCGCAGAAATTATGTACTGATGACACATCACTATCCAGATCTCCGTAGTGCTTCTAATGGGTCGTTCCGCAAGGGAAATTTGCTTCAACCAAACAAAAGCATTACCCAGATCTGGGTAGTGACGCATCATCAGTGTAGAATTTGTGCACTCGTTTCTCAGACATCACTTTGCCACAAAACCAGTGGTGGCTTTCTCAGGCTGCCATCTGTATCAACAATTAAAAAAAAAAAAATTTGTGTATTACCCTAAATCCTCTATTAAGCCCTCCCTCTCAAATAACTCTCCTCCCTCTAGTACCCCCACTTTTTAGGGGGCAAAAGTTAATGAGCCCTTCTCTCTATTAAGCCCCCATCCCCTCCCCTAATTATTTTTTACTAAGACTGTATAAATCAATCACGACTGTAAATTCTCATCCTCGGCTGCATAACCTAAAACTTCTTGTTCTTAAGCTTATCCAATTTGTATTCTAGTTCTTTAAGGACAACTGATACCATCATAAATTCTAAATTAAATAAGCCCCCCGTCTCTATAAAGCCCCCCCTCAAATGGGCTTGAAATAAATAAGCCCTTGGAGGGGGGGCTTAATAGAGGATTTACAGTAAGTTGACTCACCTTTTAAGGTAACGGTGACAAACTTTTCTTGTACTGTGGTTGTACACACACCAGTATTGTTACAGGAACATGTACTCAAGTTTCCAGGGGCGCTAATGATGTCATCCTTTGTGCAATTAGGTAACGGGATACACTTTGAGGCACCCATCATGGCAAAGGTGTTTGTTGGACAAGGGTCGCATTTCGTCTGACCTGAAAACATGCACATATTCAAAAAATGAGCTCTTATCAGATACAAGTTCTTTCTTCAGAAAAATCAATCAAACAAAAACAGACCTTAACAAGGCAAAATAATTGAGCACACTCACCACAAAAACCAGCGACAGTTGAGAAAGTTATTGATTGACAATTTATCACCTACTTAAATACTGAAGGAACTATGAAGCATTTTCACTCACATGGCCAATAGCTATGCAAGTTTATTGCAACAAAAGAAAGGGTATTTTAACATTATAATCAGTCCTTTTCAATTCTGATAGGCTGCCACAAATTCTGAGAAATTACGTTCAGTCTAGGAACTCACAATGCAGCAGATGTACCAGATAAGACAAATTTCATTTGCTTTGATGCATTACTCATAGTTACAAATGTATATCAACTGTCATGAATTAGCTGGCTTCTATAATAAAAATAATAATATTGACCTCTAGAGCTTGAAGGAATTATAGATCGGTCTTAATCAGTCTCATCTACCTTTCATGATGATTGTGAATTGAAAGCCGGAATAGCTGAGAGGGGGGATTTCTGTACATGAGGCCCTGCCAGGGTAAATTCCGAAAAGCGACATGGCCCAAAAAGTGGCAACAGCGCGTAAAATGAAATCGCGACAAGAGACAACCTCCCTCGGCCAAATTGCGACAGTGACGGCAAAGCGGACAATAAGCGACAAGCATTTACTAGAAATACGTTTTCACAAAAATCTCGTGAAGCTAACAGGGTCAACAGTGAGAATAAACCGTAAAAAGCCCAAAGGGTTAAAAAAGCTGGAAGTAGCCAAGCCGGGATTTGAACCTGCACCCCACCTTCCTCCAGCGAAATAAGTGCGGGCCTCTTACCACTGGGCCATGCGACCCCAGCACCGATTGTTTTTGAAAATTAATAGTCTTGAAGGATCTTTCTCTGCCATTCACACTGTTTGAACCTTATGGAGCTGTATCTATCATGAATTCAAATATACATTTGAGGAAAAATAGCTCAAACGACAATTTCCAAACCATTTTGCCTTATCGCCATGTTTATTCACTTTTGGGCTTTATATAGGCCACTCGATTAACGGACTGGTCTTCTTCTTCGCTGCTTTTGCTGAAGTTCAGGTCACCTTTCTTTCGGTGTTAAACCTTCCATGGCAAGGATGTCCAGCCACTTGTCCAATCGGGCACTGTTGTGTTTTCAGCCTGCGGTTATTTGCCTCAGAAATATTTTGCGATTTGCCAACGTACAATAAAAAGATGATGAATAAAATGAGCCCAAGTCACTGGATGTGTTGCCTGGAAACCCAAAATGCATGATGACGTCATGTTGAATGGCGTCTTTAGGATTTGTTTATGGCTTGTTGCTAGGCAACTGCAGATACCAAACCGATAGAAAGATTTATGACCAAAGCGAAATCGTAGTTCGCTTGTGATCCTCGCGTGATCCACGCGCTTTGCATGCGTGGCAAAATTATAAACTCGCTCCGCAAGAATAAACACCGACATGAGACGTTTTAAAATTCAGACGGGCGACATGGGACCCCCCCCCCCTGGCAGGGCAGGGCCTCTGTACAACATTTTGACAAAGGTCTATTATGTGTTAAATAATGCACCAACCTTCTTTCGCCTGAAACTGAAAATATGAACACGCAGTGCATTCTGAAGCACCTTCTTGATTACCAAAGTAACCTGGTGGACAATGTTTGCATTTCACGTTTGGTTCATCTGTGCCAACCTAAAGAATACACAGTCTTTTTAATTACATAAATTAAACAAATACTTTTTAATGAAGGAGAAACGTACTGTAATATCCTTACTTTTATTTTTGAACCTTTGATAGTTGACACACTTGGGTGAAAATTAACAGAGGTGTGTGGAATTTGGCAAATCAATTAACATCTATTACAGTCAACTCTTGCCTACCGATAATACGGACAGGACACTAACTCGAGGTCCATACAGTGTCCGCAGTAAAGGGAGTTGACCGTACGTAGTTAATTATCAGAAGTCACATTGCTAATATTAATCCAACACCAAAGTCTCTTATAATAGCCAAAAAGTTGCCATTATTTCTGTCTCAAATTGCCATGGATTCTAAATTTCAACCCTGACCGATTTGACTATTTTTTTAATTTAAATATTACTAAACTGCAAGCACAACCAGGTCTGGAATAAATCTCCTAAAAAATTCTCTTATCAAGAGTTTCATTTCCTCTTGTCAAATATATCTGACAGTTTTCCATAAAATGGTGAAAGTTGGTTTGGATATGTGCCTGCCCCTAGAGATGATGATTACAACAGACCAAAATTTAACTCCGCTTAGTTCTATTACCATTATAAATTGTGTGACTTACCAAGGTTATAGAACGGATGAAAGCCTTGTCTAAGAAGGAATATCCATAACTATAACAACCCTTACGAAAAACCCACTTCAGTGTATGGGAACCCTAGAATACAAGTATGAATTTTAGCATTTGAAGAGCTTGGCTACCTACACAAACATCAAACTTACAGATGATTTTTGTCAAAATGATGTTTGCTGTTCAAGACAGGTCTATTTTGCTTCACAAGTATATTTTGATTTCCTTCACAAGCACATTTTCATATCTACACAAACAAAAAAGAAGTCATGCTAATTGTTGATGTTAGAAGAGGGCAAATGCTAATCCTGAGCATTCTGTGGTAGTGAGAGGGTGGCATTCAGTGGTTCTTGGGTATCCTGTGGTACTGAGGGTGGTATGTCTTGTTTTTTGGACACCCTGTGGTACTGAGGGGTGGCATTAACAAGATTGCATGTTTTCTTGTTCTTCTAATAATATTCAATATAATTTATTCCTTTTTTTCATTAAGGTTCCTGTGAGTTATATGTTGCCCCATACAATGTAGATTTCCTATTTTCAAATTTGTGAGCTTACAAGGGGATATTTTTTACTTTAATTGCTTGACTATTTAACTTTGAAATATGTATTTTCTATACATTTTGACCAGTCACAAACAAACAAAATGGCCAAAATTTGTTGGGCTGGTCAACATGAATGGCCAATGTGAATTATTTCGAGCCCAGCTGTAACAACTCTGTTTTATGAAGCATAATGCTATCAGCAGGCAAAGTTTGATTCAACCTTACCTTCTTTAGATTATAAGTCTTTGTAACCCAGTGAAACTGGTTTCCTTGGTATTGTAGTACTTGCTGACCATCAATAAAGAAACCTAGACCATCGCATCCGCCAAAGACTTCAGGTCTGCAGTCTTGGCTGTCTACATGATAGTCAAAACTAACACTGTTGTTAGTCAGGACAAACTTCCTGGTCATCAGTAATACAGAAACCAGGCAGTACCATCTTGACCCACGATTGTCACCAGATTCAAGTGTGTAGTTATCAGCTATGTAAATCAATAAAAAATGGAATTGCTTATAAACAAACAAACAAAAAAGGAAATAAATAAAAGATAAAATAATAAAGGCATAGTAATATGGTGTTTATAAAGTACTTCCCTGAGAGATTTTTACAGACTCATTAAACCCATAAGTATGGACACTGAAGGGTCCATAGAAAGCATCTGTATTAACGGTGTGTCTGTATTAAGCAGATTATGTTGTTTAAGTTAAAGACAACAACTTTTATTAGCACAAAATGCTAAAGACATAAAAGAGGACAACTTCAGCAACATCAAAGTAAACATCTCTATCCTTCAAAAAGCCAAAATTCTGTGGACTAAATCAACAGAACGCTAGCATAGGCTATGTTTTGTTACGTTACATTCTGATTTATAATCTAAAAGTATCTTTTAATTTTAACTTGACATTTCTATAATTAAATGTGATTAAAATGTTCACTGTGCAGTAAAAACTGTTTTTTACCCTACTCTCGGTTATTTTCTTTGAACTCCCGGTAACTTGAACTCCTGATAACTCGAACCTTTTTTCGATTTCCCTTGTAGGTTCGAGTTATCAAGAGTCGACTGTATATTTTGTTCAACCTCGTTCAATAATTGTTATTATTTTTTACTGAGATTGGGAGGGCCGTAGATCAGACAGGAAACTAGCAAGTTCTCATTAAACTCATGAATAATAGGTCTTATCACGGTTTTTGACACCATCTTGACGAGTAGGCAACCACCTGATAAATTACAGTGCTTGTATGAGAATCTAATGTCGAATAATTTCAGTAAAACAGCTGTTCTGAAAAAAATATGAACTGTAAAATAAAGCTACACAGCAAAGGATTTTACTATCAAATTTTGGGGGCCGTTACTGTGCTTAAATTTCTCCAGACGCTTGCTTCAGATTTTCCACATTCTGCAATTTTTTCCTGGGAAATGTTTACAGGCAAATGTATAGAAAATTTTAAAAAGTGGTTCTAACGTATATAGCTGCATGTAACGACCTCAAATTTTTTCAGAAGAATCATTAGGAGTGAAAATTTAGTTTACAATTCATATTTTTTTCAGAACAGCCGTTTTACGGAAATTTTTGCACATTAGATTCTCATACAAACACTGTAATTTCTCACACGGTTGCCTACTCGTCAAAACCGTGATAAGGCCTATTCTTGCAGTCAAAAGCCAATAGATGACGTCCATTTGGGTACGACAGATGAACCTTGATACTTGCCTGCGTGCAGACGTCTCCTATTTCCTTTGTTGCACGCGGAAAAGGGACGTCTGCGTAACGCCGTCGCTAATCGTGTTCCAGCGTCCCGCTGGCAGGGTATTCTATTTCGCATAAATTGTGAAATAATATCCGGTTAGAAATAAGAGTTGACAGGCCAAACAAAACATCATAAGCTCGTGATACGGGCGAAACGTGACCTTGAGAGTCTGCTTGAACAGAGGTTTTTCTTCTTTTCTCTCTCGCGCGAAGATTATTAGCACTACACAGTGCATGTAGCATTCTAACCTTTGACTGAGTAAATCTCATTCAAGTCTTCCATTTAGAGGTCATGAAGCAGGTTTGTTACATGCATACTGAGTAATCATTTCCTGTGGTTTATGCTTCTGTGGGTGTTCCCGATAGGATTTGATTTCAGATGCAGTTGTAAAGTGTTTAAATTTTCTTGACCTCTGTTTGTTACGGCTAAATAAAGATTTTAGTTTCTTTGGCTGGCTTTCTCCGAAATGCCTACCTGGTGCGAAGTCCACGCCGCTTTTGTAGTTTTCTCAGACACTGTTTACAAATATGATGTGATGTGTCATGCACAGTAAATTGTAAAGAAATAATTTCCTCGTACACGTTAAATTTGCCGCGTCCCCGCACGAGATTTCGATCGCTCTGCTTTTCGATCGACGAAAAACACAGCACACAATCGCACATGTTTTGATTTGTTTTGGTTAGAAAACCCCGCTTACATAAATCATTTAAATCACCGCATACATTATCAGACCACATTCAATAACAACCAATCAGCATTAAGTCAAACAATGCGCACTGTGTCAGCCTATCACAGCGTGTTCCCAAGATCTTGGGAACCCAGCAGGACGCTGGAACACGATTAGCGACGGCGTTACGCAGACGTCCCTTTTCCGCGTGCAACAAAGGAAATAGGAGACGTCTGCACGCAGGCAACCTTGATACCTAATGAAACACCACATAAAACGTCACCACCAGGTTTTCATCTGATATGAAACACGTTTTTTACTGGAGATCAAACACTTGCATTTTAATGAGATGTTTTATTGATTAACACAACTTATATGGAAACAATGCAATTACATACCAGAAAAAAACATGTCACTGCATAATTTCTTATTGTTTCATTTAATAAGACATATGTCAAAAACTCGGGCTTTGCACTTTATAATATGGGTTCCAAACAGCTCGAGAGAGATGAAGGCATATTAACCTATGACCTTGGGGCTTCATCTGTTTTTCGGTGTTTGCGGAACCCTATGAAGAAGCACTCGCCCTCATTCTTAACATATTGCATCAATTTTTAAAAATAATATTATCCTTGCTTACCACTTGCTTTCCATGCCTCACAACTTTTGACATAATAGTGTGAAATGTCACAATATGTAATAAGACCTGATCCTTCAGGAGGTATGGTGCCGTTTCCAGTCCAATCCCTCCAATTATTGATGATTTCCCCCCCTGATCCATACTCTCCAATTGCGCATGGAGTGCATGTGTGATTGGTGGGGCTGTTTCCTTCAAGGCCATTACCAGGAGCGCATACACAGGGTATGTTATGTTGAGGTTTAGGAGGAAACTCACCACCAATACTGCAAATTATCAAAGAGTTTGTTTTGTTCAGCTAATTAACCTAATTCCATTAGTGACCATGCAACTTTAACAATACCACCAGCATTTTGCTTGAATCAAAAATATGAGCATAAGGAAATAATTTGTCAGTTTTTAGGCTGAACCCAATCTATTCTGACAAAGTCGATCAAGCAATCCCTAGTGTTAAAGAAAAATTTACTGAAATGCACTGCAGAGATTCAATGTCATGGTCTTTTTCTTTGTAATGTTTGTTTGTTTGTTTTTGTAACGTTTTGCACCCTAAACTACTTGAATTATAATAGTTTTGCTTACATTCAGTCACTAAGGGATACAGTTGAACCTCTCTAATGCGGACACCGAAGGGACAGATCGAAGTGTCCGTATGAGAGAGGTGTCCATATTAGAGAGGTCACTATGATTACGTCACTTTTAAGACCCCACTAGTACTGACAGGTTAGAGTGTTCAGTAAGTAAAATCAAGCCCAAAACTCAGTGTCTTGTTAATTGATTAATGTTATTGTACTTCTAAGAAGCTACATGCTCAGTACATACGAATTTTGGAACAAAACAAAATACTTCGCCTAAAACATTGTTCTCGTATTGGTATTGCTGACTGATAAAGTGTCAATGTTTGTGTAACTGCCAAGAGGAAATGGTACATATACCACAAATTTTCGACACCTTGTCCCGGAGTGTCCATAATAAAGAATTTGAATTTTCTCCCAAGGGCCGAGACTTTGTGTCCGTTGTCCGTATTAGAGAGGGTCCGTAGTATAGAAGTTTTTTTAGAGGAAATGTATGAGAATTTTGTCGGTACATAGGAAACTGTCTGTAATAGAGAGGTGTCCATATTAGAGAGGTGTCCGTACCGAGAGGTTCAACTGTAACTAGTACTAACTTATTTATATCACTGCCTAGCAAGGGGGTAAAAGGGGCAGCTCTGCTAGAAGGGTATTCCAGGGTAGGAGCTCATTGTACAAAATATACTTGCCAAATGCAAGATTCTGGAAACCACTCTTCTAGATATATAAAATTACGTGATTCAAAGGACCTCGCGAAGGACTTCAGGGGAACGACAAGAAGTTGAAAGGGAAATAAGGCAATAGGGAAGAAAATTTATAAATTTTAAAAAAATTAAGCTACCGTGTTTATTCGGCCATAAGCCGATCTTGGCGATAAGTCGAGACCCTCGCTGAACTTTAAACTTGTAGAATCAGCATCACCAAGAACGAAAGATAAATGCTAAACACCCAGCTATAGAGCCGAGACCACACTTTTAGCTACTGTACTTGAAACTTAACAATTTTGAAAAAAAAATGACCTTCTCTTTTGACTCTAGGGAAACATACAATATTTATATTTGTTGTTTGGCTTTTCGCTGCTATCACTTCGTCGCATAATGCTTGAAATGATCACATACCGTATTTATTCGATTAACCGCCCTGGGCGCTTATTAAATTTTTGGACCTTGAGAGTGGGCGCTTATTCGAGGCTGGGCGCTTATTAAATTTTCACCATTTTCAGCAAGTGAAGTATGCTTATTTTGCAACAAAACAATAAAAGCTAATAACAAAACGCGAAGAAGTAACGAAGCAAGGTTTCTGTAAAATACTCTCAAGAAAACTCCGTCCTCGGGAAAGTCTCTTATTAGAATTTATTCACTCAAGTGGGTGGGGTGGGGGTGAGCGCTTATTTGAGTTCGATTGGGAGGAGGAGGGGGTGGGCGCTTATTCGAGGCTGGGCGCTTATTAACTTTTTCTGCCATTAGGATGGGCGCTTATTCGAGGTGGGCGCTAATTCGAGGTTGGGCGCTTATTCGAATAAATACGGTACCTTTCAATCAAAACGAACTACATCAGCGTTGCTCTCGTCTGTGCTTAGTAACCAGGCATATGTTTCGAAGCACATGTTCCAAACAACATGCAGACGGATAATTTTCGTTTACACATTCGATTTTCCTTGACATCTTTCATTTGTTTTAGACCTTCATTCCCTCATTCTAAAAGGCTTACCAATGTGAGATTTCGGTTGTGAGAGCTGGTTTTGCAGACTGCAGAGCAATGATTGGCCTGTTAAAAAAGCCATCGTCGATTTGCCTATTTAGAAATTCAAAATGCACTTCCGGTAATTCGTCGAGTCCAGGTAGCATCTGTTTGGTTTAGATTATTTGGCATATCCTTAAATACTGCTAAGATGAAATACGTCATTTAAAAGGTGTTAAATGTCCGTGATCTATCCTAGTTGTTTTTGTAACTGTAGTGAGCACGAAGTGCTCGCAATCTAAACACTTTTTTTACGGAAGACTACTATTTAGACAGTCATTAATGGGCATTGCTACTTGTCATTATCAATTCACAATAATCAAAGAAGAATAAAGAATCAACGCAATTAGTAATATGCCGGGTGAGTCAATAAAGAGTCGCGTCGGTGAAGAATAGCCAACAGCATCTTGGAAATGAGGCCAATGTAACTTTGCGCAAAAACATCAACCTTGTTCCCAGGCTACTTTCTCACTTTCACACGATGTTATATTTTAGATGGTTTCACCTTTATTAGGAAGATTTTTGGTGTCTTTTAATTTACAATCTGCAATCTGCAGTCTGCGGTCTGCGGTCTGCGGTCTGCAGTCTGCAGTCTGCAGTCTGCAAATGTCATACCACCGCGATTGATTCGATCTTTTGCCGCTGCTATATGCTCGGCTTGTAAGTGAATACATCCCCGTTTAGTAGAGTTTCAATGCACTGAAAAACATTTTTGTAAAAAACTCTTGGCTATAAGCCGAGACCCCCTCTTGGACTCAAATATCACTGAACTTTAGCTTTAGTTTGTGTAAAAATCGCTTGGCTTATAGCCAAATAAATACTGTATATAAAGAAACAAAAGAAAACTGCGATAACTAAACTAAGTCAAATGAGTCAATGAGTCATGAGTCATGAGTCAATGAGTCAATGAGTCAATGAGTCAGATCAGAAAAAATAAAAGTTTCGGTAGAAACAATAAAATTAAGCATAACTTTTACTTAATTTGTCTATTTCTGGCCTATTTCTGACATGAAATCTCAACTTGGGCTGTTTGTTAGCAGTATTCCAGGCCCTGCCGCTACTACTACGTAAAATTACAATGGGTACACAGTTATACCTCAACAATAATTATTCGTACACTGTATGTTTCTAATATAAACACTGACTGTGTACAACTGTTCGACTTGCAGTTTCATACCCCTCCTCGGGCAAATTACAAAAATTGTAATTCAGTTTGTTCGCCTTGTAGCATCATTCATGAGGCAAGTAAAACTGATTGGAAAAAGTGGTGAACTAAACTATTGGGAAGATTATCAACTGAAAACAACTCTGCTATTGATTGTTGGAACGGACGCTTAGTGTCCTGGATACTTACCTTTACACCAGCATGACAAGCTAATGAGTAACATACTGATACAGATATAACAGTGGAACTTTCCTTCGCACTCATGACCGATTTTCTACTTCAAACCGGGCCCAAACATCAACACACCGAATATCAAAAAACGACTGTTCCCAGATTTGAGTCTTTGAGCGCTAGGAAATTCCATAATAGGTTTATCTCAATTTACTTTAAACGCTGTGTTTAAAAGGAATTATACACTTTCTTCCGATGCACTCACAAAATTTAGGCTGGCTTATTTTTCGCTTCTGCTATGCGGCAGGGCCTGGGAACTGCTAACAAACAGCCGGGCGAGATTTCATGTCAGAAATAGGCCTTGTGCAGGCAGCAATGAAGGTAGTAGACAAAATCAGTAAAAGTAATGCTTAATATTATTGTTTCTACCGGAACTTTTATTTTTTCAGATCTGACTCATTGACTCGTTGACTCATGACTCATGACTCATTTGACTCATTAATACTTTACACTCGAAAAGAAAAAGAAAAAAAGAAGAGAAGAGAAAACAGGTTCTCCTCGATTCGAACTCAGGATCTTCTGCGCGCCAGGCCGTATCATTACCACTAGGCCACATGGAACACACTGAGGTGACAAGAATTGGAAAATATTTCATTAAACCTTTCCCCTAGAACTTCCGCCAGCGCCACCTGTATAAAGTTGATCGAGCCCTATTAAACATGAATTCAAAGATATTTTTACGTTGATTTTCACTCATATCTTAAGGCAAATTATCCAGAATCGCTTCCATTTGCTCTTAAAAGTACTTTTGTGTTCGAAATTCATTGCAAAAAGCACTTACTGACTCCTAAAACAGCTGCTAAAAAACCAAATTGATAGATATACGACCAAAGCAACACACTCTTCGGTGTTGCCTGGAAACACAAAATATTCCGTGACGTCACACACTAGATGACATAAGGGCGCAGACCATCACAATATATACAAGTTTAGTATATACACACTCAGTGATCTTGGTAATTCAAGCAATCTGATTGGTTAGCTATCTCGGACTATTAAGTAGCTAAATTTTCTTTATTCTCGATATTTTTGACCAATTAGTTGAATTTTACTAAAACAATTATTATTCCTCTCGCCCTTATGGCCTCTGAGTCAATAGCTCATGAAGCCGAAGGCCTCATGGGCTATTGACTCAGAGCCCATTCGGTGAATATAAAGCAGAACAAAATCGCTGTCGTGAACTGGGTGTTTTGCCAAAGTTTCATAGTAAAGTGTTTTTGAAAATACACGAATATCCAAGTGCTGATGACTTTGAGGACAAGAAAAGGCTTCATGGTGTTTAAACAGCGTGAAGTGGTTTACTGTAGCTGACTTTTTGTACGCTCGAAGCTATGTTTACCACTACAGAGGAAAACGAGGTCGCTTTGTCACCGTTTTGTGATTTCGGGATTTTCTCGCAAGACCAATTTTGCCTATAAATAGAAGTTAATTTATGGAGAAAAGAGGAAGGCAAATATTTTCGAATATTGTACGTGCCAGCAAGTTAACTAGGCAAAGAACATTGGAGATATAAAACAACGCTCACCTTGATCGTAGCCGCTGTTGACAGCATTTGCA